GATAATTAAGGAATACTTTAAAAATCTATACTCAAGGTAGAATTTTTTTGCCAGTCATGGTACCTGAGCCTGGGCACTGTCCCTCAGCTCTTCAGCTCAAGGCTAGTGCTCTACCACTTGAGCCACAGCACCCCTTCCAGCTTTTTCTGCTTATGTGTTGCTGAGGAATCGAACCTAGGGCCTCATGCATGCAAGGCAAGCACTCTACCACTGAGCCACCTTCCTAGCCCCTCAAGCTAGAAATTTTAGAAGTGGATTTTTAGATATAGCTGACCCTCTGAACCAAGACCATATAAACCCCCTAAACAGAGCTATAATAAGTAATGATATCAAAATAGTGATAGTCTCTCAACAAAGTCAGATGGATTTATGGCTGAACTCTACCAGCCCTCAGACCTTCAAAAGAACTAATACCAATAAAAATAGTCTTCCATGAAATAGAAAGGAATGCTGCCGAAGTCTATATAAAGCAATTCAATGCTGCCAAAGTCTATATAAAGCAATCCAAAACCAAACAAGGATATAACAAGAGTTATGCACAATTTTCATTGTTGAACTTTGAAGCAAAAATTCTCAATTTCTTGAAAAGTGAATATAGCAACATCAAAAGAAAAAGTACATACATCAATGTAATGTGTCACCAGAAAAAAATCACATCATCAGGTGATGCACAAAAGGCCTTTAACAAAGCCAGGTACCAGTGGCTCATGCCTGTAGTCCTAGCTACTCAGGAGGCTGAGATCTAAGGATCATGGTTCAAAGCCAGCCTGGCCAGGAAAGTCCATGAGATTCTTATCTCCAATAAACCACCAGAAAAATTGAAGTGGTACTATGACTCAAGTGGTAGAGTGCTTGCCTTGGGCTGAAGAGCTGAGGGGCAGTGCCCAGGCCCAGAGTTCAAGCCCTATGACAAAAAAAAAAAAAAAAAAAGCCTTTAACAAAATTCTACATCCTTTACTGATAAAAGTGAAAGACCCTAGGATACTTTCGTCAACGGGAGGGCGCCCCAGAAAACTCAGACTCCAGGCCGGGAGATGCAATAAGCAAGAGGAGTTTATTTGACGTTTGCACAAACGTACTCTCTGTCCCTAGCAGACAGGGAGCCCCGAGCTGCGGTTACAAGCCCTTTTTAAAAGGCAAAAACCACAAGATTAACGCATAACACAAAGCATCCCATGATTGGTCCATTTAAAGGTCATCACTTTGCCACGTGGGAAATTTTGTAACACTCTTTGTAAAATGACTGGCCCATGGTTGGTCTAAGGGGGTTTACATGGTTACAGGCCTATGATTGGCTGACATTTGGCTTAGCTTGTGGTTTTGCCAGGTGGTCGTTATCTCAAGGTCCTGTCTGGGGAATTTCTAAATGGGAACTGAGGAACACATACTGTCTGTTCTTTATCTA